TGAAGTTGTAGTTGTAGTTGTAGTTGTAGCTAATCGATGAAGAGGAAAAGAAAGAGAAAGAAGATGTGCGAAATACATGCATCCATATATATATACATACAGAAATAGTGGTAGCGAGAGTATAATGGAAAGAGGTAAGAATAGACGAAGATATAAACAAAGATAATATAATAATAAGGAAATAATAAACGAGTGCATTACAGCAACTGAATTGGAAATCTGTTTCAAAGAATTGTAACATGGGCTTATATTAAGAGAAAAATAAGAGAATCATGTTTGCAAAAATGGCAACATATCTGATTTTTACAAAAAAAGAGTGTACATTATTTCAGGTTTGAAACTAAGCCAAAATAGAAAGCTTGCTCAATAAAATGTAAAAAGAAACTTTTTGCTACAATAATGCAGCTAAAGCTTGGACATGGTTATTTCAAATCATATTTAACAAAGATTAGAAATGATTTAAATGACTTATATTCAAATTATCAATTATATGAAAATTCAGAGAATCTTCTTTTACTTTGTATAAAGTATACAGAGTTAAGATTGAGATTGAGAGAGAAGTTTGAATTGAAACAGTTAAATTTAAAACTTTTATTCAATACAAAAACTGGAAATGAATTTTTGATTGAATATTTGAAAGAATCAAATATTGTTATAAGATTTTAATTGAATAATTTGATCTGATAATGAATTCAATTTTTATTTTTATTTTTCTTTTGTTTCTATGTATTTGCTTTAATTTTTGTTTTTGTTTTTATTTTTATTTTGTTACTTTTACTTTGAAATTTGTTTTATTTTGAGTATTTTTGATTTTGACTTGTTTTGATTTGTGAATGCTTTCTTTTCTTTTAATAACTGCTGTTTTTTATACTCTTTATTTCATTTGTTTTAAATTGAATGTATTGATCTGTTGTCATTCTTTTGACATTCTTTTTTAAATTGAATACTTTGAATAGTTGTTTGATTCTGGGCTGGAATTCTGCTATTGCATGTATTAAATTGACTTTGTATATTAGCTTATTCTTAAGTTGAAAAATCCTGGAGTGTTTCAGGTAGATGTCATAGTCACTGACTGCATATATCTATAATGGAAGAATAATAATAATAATGTACGATCATAAACACGGTGAGTGAGGGTTGAGTGAGAGACATCATACAGCTTTGCTGCAGCTCGTATGCTTGAAATTTGATCATTTTTAAGTGCTTGAATGGCTAAAAGAAGCCTTCCTTCTTGAGCAGAGACTTTATTTCTTTGAGTGGTTGACATTTTTGTTGAAAAGCATTCTTGTTGTATGGCAGGTGGGAAGTGGCTCGCTTGCTTATGTGGCTCGCTCGCTTATCGATTACGTTATATAATCTGGCCCCTACATTCTACTCCCTTGGTATCTGGTCTCTCTATCCGAATCCATTCCAATAAGCACTGTATTACCTTACATAGATTTATCCTCGTAGAGTCGAAAGTTTCTCCGGCCGAAACTTTTGAACCACGCTCAGCATTTTTGAAGTATCCGTCCGTGGCAAGAGAAATTCGTGCCTAGTAGCAATGCAGCCACATGTTCAAAGTGCCCATATAGCGATGCGTTTTATGAAAATCAGGTAGCTGGAAGTGGCGGAGCAGAAGGAGCAGAAAATACCGGCCTCGGTAAAGGTGTCAGGCGGGAAACGACGGACGAGGACGAGAATGAAGTGCATGGTATATGTGGCCAAAGAGATGCCTTTCATCAGATAATATTCACCTTTTCCCGATTCCGCATCATGTCGCATCTAGTTTTCGAGATTGGGGGCCCAGGTCACGAGATCGAAGCTCCATGCGGCAAGGGGTTTGTAGTGGCCTGTGCTAACATGGTTGAAAGCGCTGTCAGGCTGCTTGGTTCAGGCCGTGGGAGCGGTTTTGGTCCTTCTGAATGGATGGGGATATGAGGGCTGAGATTGGGTATGTGGGGATGGCGTTGCAAGCCTGCCGATTGGGCAGGGAGTGGAAGAGGTTCCGCCTCGCGCTCCCGCATCATCAATCATGACAGCCAGCCCGTCGCCAAGTCCCTTTTTTTTGCCAAGTGCAGTTGTCAGGACGGGGGACCCACTGCGCGCCGCAGGCTGATGCCCAAGGCGTTTCCCCTTTCTACATGGACCATACAGGCATGGTACATGCTTCGTCGATCACGTATGTAGTTGGCCTGGGAGTTCGTAACCGCTGGGTGTGAGCATGGTCATTGTCGAATAGCGCTGGCATACAAAAATATCCCTTATCTGCGAAAGCGGGGCAGGTCTCAGTCTCGAAAGCCAGTCACATGTACTCCGTATGTAGCATAGAGGTACTAAGAAGAGCATCGAATCGAGGAACAGCCCTGATGTGCATTGTGATGACTCGAATAGCCAGTCAACACTAAAAGGGCTGTTGGGAAAAGCATATTTGACAACCCTGTTGAGATAAACATTTCGTCTCTCCCTGACGAAGAGTTGACACAAATTATCCTTCGTCTTCTGCCCTTAGCTCCACGCACACTCCTCATCAATGTTTCGTTTCGTAAGGCCACACAGCCCAATGATCCCCATCCACACGTGGGGCGTCGGATGGATACGTCTGTGCCAGCCAATCACTTTCCCCAGTCCTTTTCCGCCCGTTCAAAGATGAAACTCAAAAGTCATGAGTGAGGACGGAAGAATGCGACTGAGCGCCAAGTGAAGAATATCAGATGCGTGATATTGGCAGCTGGCAACCTGCTAGGATCTCAACATCATGTCCCAGTGATTGCCGATCTGGTGAAGTTACTGCACATCCCCCGTTGGGCTTACTAGCTCTTGAAGACGGGACGAGATAGGGCAGCTGAAGAGGGCAAGATCCCTTTATATGTTTGTCAATTAGAACTGAGCTTGGCTGCGGCTAATTCGAATCCCCCCAGTCATCCCGGATTAGATGGCGTCCGCCTGACGCAAGAGACAATATATGATCCCATCAAACCAAGGTTATCATTACTCCAAGAATAAAATACATTTTATTTCAGGTAAAAGGAGATCGTTCACCAAACATTGAAGGCCACCTATCAAAAAGCTAAAGAATATATATTATAAATATATATATCCGTGGATATACTATAGATGTATAGAAACGGCGGGGAAACAAAGAAATTCAGAAATCCAAAACTAGAACCCAAATAGTCCAAAGAATCCGAAGAGATTTTGTTCCACCATCTTTCCATATTTTTTCTCGGTTAATTTGTTCATCTGGCTTGGGGAGCTTTCTTTGATACTGGCCCTTATAGCGACTATCAAATGCGCCTCAACTTAAGGTCAAGAGAAGAAGAAAAGGATGAGAAGGGATGGGATGGGATGGGATGGGATGGGATGTTAAAACATGGATTTTTAGCATAAAAAGGTTAAAAATAAAAAGCATGTAAAAAAGAGCCAGCCAAAAATCAATATATATAGCTGTAATAATAAATAATATAGTAATAATAAAATATGTAAATAATAAGTAAAGTAATTGGAAAATAGACACGAAAAAATAAAAAAATTCACGCATCGAAGCGTTATCAGGCATGGGGCCTATTTAGAAGTGTATATAGATAGGAAGATAAAAGATTCGAAATTTAAAATCGTAGAGGAAAATCAAGTTGAAATCAGACGGCATGTGGACTTGGAAAATAATAACAATAGGATGTGAGTTGACTACGGGGCTTTTGATATCGACGGAGGAGAGGAGTTGCGGTTTTGTGATCAGGTGAAAGAGGAGAAATCGACGACGTCAGGAAGCATAAGAAATGAAAAAAATAATCACATAAATAAACACCCCAACCGATCCAGAGCAAATGAATATAGACAGTGGTAAAAAGGGATCAAGACGAATGAACGAAAGACGTAAGCTAAGACTCACAAACTAAGATGCAGCAGAGTACAGACACAAAAGCTGAAGCCCAGAGCCAACGACTGAGACAGGTGCATGAGACAAGGACCATCGTAAAATTTCCAAGAGTCGGTGAATATAAAAAGGGCACGACAGAAAGAGACAACAGAACAGAAGGATATTGGCTGGCTGGCTTGGGATGAAAGCAGCACAAACAAGCAGGAAATGGATAAATAAGAAATAAGAAAATTGGTTGGGAAAAAAGAAAACAAAAAAACTGCAACATGAAAACGAGGAATGAAGTCAGTGTGATCCATCTTTCGTTCGTTTTTCTGTCGCGAATACACCTAGGTGGATGAAAAACTGGAAAGAAAGAGGGGGAAGCAACAACAAAATAAAATAAAGGGGAAATAGAAGAGATACGAAATTGTCACAATTCCCCAAGGGCATTGATAAACGGTCGAACCTCAAGAGAGGGCATAAACATGTAGTAGTTTGTAGGCAAGCGAGACATTCTTGAGCCGAACTGGTAGGACATGACAGAATAAAGATAGGAGCAATTTAACGCGGCGAGGATCATATACTACCCGCATAAAAACAGCACGCGGCGTAAGCTGGGGACGCAAACTGGTATGAATCAGCAACAGAAAATCAAGGCAAATAAGTCAACATGGCAGCACTGCAACCTATAGAGATGACTTCATATCCTGCCCCAAGCCCATCCTTCTGGGTTTTCTTCAATTTTTTCCCCTTTCTAAATTACCAATTGCTTC